GGTGACCAGTTTAGACTGCTTATCTTTCGTGTTAATGCCAATAAATCGGTTCGGGTAACCATTTTCTGCAAGCATGGCTTTCAGGAAGTCAGGTTCTGGGTCAACGCAATCAGAACTACAAATGTTTCTTATCCTAAAGCAGAGCGAATGAATTAGGTTCCTTTTCCTGGAGATAGGCACCCAACTATAAAAATTAGTTAGTTGTCCGTTTCATGTACGTTTCCGGTGGATAGATCTTTCGAGAGATCCGTCATTACGTCTACTAAGACACACATCGTGGAACGTAATACTTAGTTCGTATTTGTTTTCTTTGGCGAATTGTAAATATTTTGGCAGTTGTTTAAGGCAAACAGGATGTCATCAAGAATTACGTTATGAGTGCAGATGACGAAACTGTCGTCTGCGTATCTTTTATGAATATCCAAATGTCCGATCCTTTGATTAAGTTGAGAGTTTTCATTCTTTGCCATAAGTCATTCAGCCAGCAAAGGACCCAGTGGTGGTCCCATCGCAATGCAATCTCTCTGTCTAAAACTCTCATTTTTGGAGGTGAACTGAACATTCATCGTGCATCTTAATAAAAGTTCTTTGAGGAGGATTGTCGGTAACCCTATTTCTAAACTATGTGCATCAATATAACCACATATATAGTGAACAGTTTCCATGAGAGGTACGTTAGTAAATGGCTAAGTCACATCTAATGAGAACATGACCTTGCCTGAGACATTTCGACGTTACTCCGGGTTTGCGGGAAGGCTGAATGGTCCGTATTCCTTTATTTCGAAGGCCTAGATTTTTCAACCCTCGAAGTCCAGTGAGGACAAACTTGACAACAATTAATGGTGATAAATCATCATGTCTGCATTTTCATGTAAATTTATGTTTATATGAAAATATAAATTATTATTATTTTAAAAACAGCTTTCGTAGTCTTCTCCCTAACGGTTTGGGATATAATCGCTCAAGCAGAGTTTGAAGCCAGAGATATTCTCAGATGCAACGGTATCCGGAATTGGTTTTCACTTACATGGTAGTGGTTAAGAACCTCCTCTGTGGTAAAGAAAACATTCGCTGGCTTCGCGCTTAAGTGGTACGCATGCTTTCCGAAGCCATAACAACCTTTAAGATGCACAGAAACGCAATTCTGAGAAACACTTCTACTCTTGATTAATTGCATATCTTTAACTAAGAGGATGAATGTTCAGCGTGCCCTACCGGGAGACAGATTTCAGAACTAAAGTAAGGAGATCTATACCGTAGTGAGGGCATTTTCGGGAGACACAAGTCAGAAACCTGAGTATCCAAACCTTTGTCTGTGTAGAGCAGAGGATTCTGGCTGAGTTAGTAGCATGCCAAGCAATTACGTGTAGTCCCTTTCACGAATAGGGAGGTCTGGGTGATCCGGTTGACGAATGTAAACTGAAGTGCAAAGGAAGGTGTTATCGAAATGGCGGTTATATATAGAATTCTTCACTGCAAACGGATGATTTCTTCATAGAGAAATTAGAAACATTGAGGTTAAAATTGCTCTGCACATAATTCATTGATTTTCGTGACTCAACAATCCATCCGAAAAACCTATCAATGACTCAATCAAACAGTGTCGCAGGTTAAAGGCGGGTAGAACTTCTCAGATCGATTAAAAGTAACTAAAGCCAACATACACAGTGTCGTGTTTTGGTCACATTAAAGGACGGGAGTGTGAAAAGAGCCTACTGGAAGATGCTTAGGGTTATTTCATATATCTGTTCACTCGCACAGTCCAACCGTTACTCCTCTGAAATGTTTCTAAGTGACGGGGCTATGGTCTTCCAACAAGAGGCCGGGAAATTCAAGGTCCTGTTGGGCCATATCAATTGCCTGAACTCGTCTATCACCACCAAAATTTCAGAAAATGGAAAGCTGCATATTAAAGCTAGAAACAAGCTTACTGCAGCAACTTGATGATGAGCATGATTTGAAGCTAGCCCATGGAGAAATGCAATAAAACATAACAAAAGATTCGTGTGAATGAGTCACTGGAGTAAGGTGCATAATGCGATCCGTGACCTGATTATTGGCACCAGCGCAATTCAGGAGAAACAGGATGATGTAGAAGTAATACGAGATTAGTCCAACTTTGGCCTAACAAAACAGTCATAAATACACATTGCACCAGCTCCTATCACATCACGAAATACATTCTTTTTTGATTGGACACTTGTCAGTAGCTAGTCTGTTGAAAGGTTTATGTAGAATGTGTGCTTTTGGATCTATGCTAGGGACTGAATTTGGTCAGTCAATTTTTCTGTGTGATTTCCATTGTATGTCTGCCGTCATTGCAGTACATTGTGAACTGTTGGCATTAGGTGGTTGGAGGCAATTTGCAGGGAGCCTTGAACCTACGTATATTTAGGCTAGACACATCGCAAACTTGACTGGAAGAATTCATTCTGCACCATGGATAGGACTAGACACATCACATTAGTTACCCAGTTCACCCATACAGGAGGTCAACCGCGGGCCCTAATAGCTCAGTGGTAACGTCTCTGACTGCAGTAACGGGTGACGCAGGTTCGGATCTCAGATGGGACATGAATTCTGTCAAGGTTTCAGATACGCCTTGCAGAAGAGTGCCAGCTAGCACGAAACACAGGTCTAAGACTTCCTGCCGACCTTGCCATTCATTTTATAAAATACATTCTGATGATGATGAGTGAAATGTTGTGTTCAAAACCTTAGGCGAACAAGATACAGAGAAATGACCAGACTCTGTGGTTTCATCCAAAGTTGTCTTGGAGCCGGTCGTCCAGATAACCAGTACACTGACTGCCATCTTCAGTTTATTGGACGAAGTCGTAACCATTGTGCTGAGAGGAAAGCCCGGGCAATGTTCTTCGAAGAATGGCCCTCACAGATTTTCCATCACTCTATTTGGGAAACTGGAACGAATTGTTGAATCTGCCATGATTTATAAGAAATGTGACAGTCTGTTGTCCAGTACACTGTATTTTTCGCTGAAACCTGTTCTGCCTTAGGAACATTTTCTCAGAGGGAAGCAATAACAGTAGTTAACAAGAATACTTTTGACACCTTTATGGATTTCAGCAAGACGTTTGACAAGGCCCTACATACCAAATTTCTCATGAAGCTGGTAAGTTTTAAAGTCACACGTGCTCTACTCATCTGAACCAGTGAATTAACCTGGTTCACCACATCTGCTGTGGCCCTCTACGCCAATAACTTTAAAATTTGAATATGGCTAAAAAATGGCAGAGAACTGTTCAAAACGCAAACAAACTTCAACTGTCTTTAAGGGCAAACTAGAAAGTGGGGGCTTCTCATCAGTGTGTTGAAGTGCTCAACCATAAGCATTGGGAACACAGATGTTTTCACACGCAGTATTAATGAAAAATTCACACACTCATTTGAGGTGCCTAGAGACGAAGGTGTCATTATAAAACATATTTTAGAGTCTAGAAAAGACTTTTCAGTTAAAGACTATAGCTTGTAAACCACAAAAGAAATTTCTGTGGCGTCCACTTTGTGTCAGTCAATCATGTGACCAAAGTTGCATTCAGCTGGCAAGCTATTTCCAAAACATTCACTCGGAAATTTGGAATGAGTTTAGCCTTATTAGACCTGACACCAACGACTTAAAAAGCGGAATCTTTAAGACATAACAGAAACATGTTCAGCAGCAGCGTTCCGAAATTTCAAAAATTGCCTCCAAACCTGATCTCTCTTCTTCCTGTATTTCCACCGGTTGGGAACTTCTATAAAGACATAGGGGAAGAATGAAACATATGAGTTTGATTGATTTAAGTATAAAACTTGGATGTTACAGGCAAACCAGCAAACACACAGGTAATGGAAGCAGAACACGAGCTGTGCAGGAGAGCGTCTATTCCAAGAAATTGAGTTTTAAAAAGTGCAGAGGTACAGTTTAAGAGTATATTAATTTTACTGGTCCTCCTTAATGTTTAGGTTTTGTATTTCTTGTACCTCTTGGCCTAGACAGTTGACTCCCAGGTATCTTCCTGAAAGCAGAGAAAACAAAACATTGATCAGTGTTATAATGCAGGTTTTGTTTTCATTACATGGGCACTGTGACAGAGTATAACTGCATTATGGATTGCATTTTATTTTGATAAATCTCTGTGTTGTACAGTAATATTAACTGATGACGTCACGAGCACAAATTACTGCTCATTAATATATCAGGGCACTCACATATCTTTATTGCATTAATACTGCATAACACTGTGTGATTTATCAAAATAAAATCTTGTCCATAATGGAGAAATTAGTGTGATCTCCACGAAGTATGATGTCAAACACTGACTAGCAGAACAGACTGTGGTGACTCCTATATTAGTTTGTGTCTGTGCCTGGATACTTATTATATAGAAATAATAAAGGCCTATTGACTTTTGTATTCAATAAGAAGCCTGAACCGAAACAAGCTTTTCAGAGCGGCAATACAATGTATACGGTACGTCAGGGTTAAGAATCACCAATGTGAGGTAGACAGGGTTTCTCCGCATTTAATTGTGGAGTCTTATAGCCTTCGAAACGATTATTCCCCGTTCTGACACGTATTTCTCAGTCTTCTGTGAGTGTCGCGAAATTATTTTAAGATTAACAAATAAATAACCCCAAAGTTATAATAATGTTGAATTAAATCTCACAAATTCTGAAATAATTCTAGCATTCTATAGTGAGTAAATTCTGAATTTGTTTTGAAATGGATTCTTTACTGCCACAGATTAGAACTCAGTGTTGGTTTCCAGTATGGCTGGAACTAATTCAGCACCGTGTTCTTTTCCTAGGCATTTTTAGGAATAGATCAGAACCTACTTGGTTTGCTTATCAGAGTTGTTCCAGCCCTTGCAGGACACATTAAGCACGGACTAGCGTTACTTCAGAACATATTGGGTAGATAGAATTTCCATTTACTAATAAAAGGCATTATCGAGGAATAGGTTAGAATAAGTTCAGAATTGCTGTAAGCTTGGGCAGTAAAGAATCCATTTCAGAACAGATTCAGAATTTACTCACTATAGAATGTTAGAATTATTTCAGAATTTGTGGGATTTAATTCAAAATTATAGTAAGCTAACCCGGGATAGGAATTTCTATGAGGAACATATTAACTTGATGTTTCTTATTGGTAAAATTAAAATGTAGGCTTCCAACTGCCGTGGACGTGGACGTGTGAATGAAATTCATAAGAGACGGTGCCAAAAGGCAGTTCGTTTCTCTACCTCGGTTCTAACAGGTATGTATGCCTAAGTTGAACATAATATACCGCCCAAACAACACCAATGTCTCACGAATTAGGTTAGCCCAATGTTCACTACTCTGTAGCTTAAACCTTTCTCTCAACACACTCTAATCTAATTTAAAACTAACCGGGAATTCTCTTTAATATCACCACACTAAATGGAAAATATGTTTTATAAATACAAAATTGTTAACTTGATTTGACTACTTTGACCACAGAGTGCAAGGATAAGTCGTGCGTTCGGACGTGTCGTCTATCTAAAGATTAACCTTACCCACAGCTGCCATGTTTAAATCTACGATAGCCAAAAAATAAGGGAAATGAAAATTACTAACGTACCGATGGAGGCCGTCGTCGTTTCCTCATTCCCACTATCAGCCTGTCACGGCTGTAACGGAATGAATACGAAATGAAACCAATTATAACTCAACAATTTCTGGTACCGTTGGTATCTCTTCACTGAGACTACATATTTGAGACTATGAAATTGTTATAACTTAAAAGTAAAATCGCAATAATAACGGAATAGTGCAATAGTTTATAGTTCATGCACTTTGCTGTTATTTCTCTGTAACCAACAATATGTGTTTCACCCTCAAAGTTGTCTACACGAAAGGTACTATTATCCCTTGAATTCAATAGTTAATCAGAAAAATACCTATGCTTCTTATAAACACAGGATTGGAACCGCGTTTCATTGATGATTTCACAAACGACTGCTGGGTTATGCATACATATATATTTATATAAGTACATGTAATTGAAGTCTCTCACGAATGTTCTTACTTTCGGATAAGATAATGGTATAGTTTTTGTGGATGAATAAGAAATGTTTTCAGAGTCAAAGTCCTTACGCTAAGTTAGATGGCGATTGCCTATGGTTCCATAGCCATGACAGGCTGATGATAGAAATGAGGAAACGACAACGGCCTCCGTTGGTACGTTAGTAATTGTCATTTCCCTTATTTCTAGAATATCGTAGATTTAAAAATGGAAGATATGGAGCATGCGGGAAGCTGTATGTCGTGCTCCTCACGAGACTTGATCGATTTGCTAACCGTTCCCATTACGAAAACAGTAAATACATTTTTCAGTCTTTTGAATTCTATGGCTTTCAAGTCGCACTCCCTTCTAATATCTATAAATCGCTATGTTGGAAGAGGAATGTGAAGCGTATTTGGCATGTATTCGTATGTGGTTGTGGTCACATCAGTTAGTTTATATATATATATATATATATATATATATATATATGGTAGGGCGCACTGCAGATGTTTCTTTAGTGAACCCAACGTTTTCACTAGCTGTTTAAGGTGCGGAACTGGAGTTGGTCTGTGGCTAAAGTGTAATTTATTCATCCCTCTTAGTAGTTATTCGCGTACGGTCGTTGTTGAATGTAATATGATGGAAACAATGTCCTGTGCTGTTTGAATAATAACGTTACCTAAATACAGGAATATAACACTACAAGTGGAAAACACTGCTTTGTAACAAGAAGGCTGCCTATTTAAAGACATTGAAAATCAGCTAGTTATTTTTTGCTTTGAGATTGTGTAGGGTTTCAGCTTTGAAGCGATTCTCTCGGTTTTAGTTACTGTCGCTGGTCTCAGTGGAGTTTGGCTGTCACACGAATGACTCCTTCTTAGTATTTAAATTTTAGGTGAAATCTTGTTTATTCATTAACATATTGGATATTTGCTTTGGCTTTTATCAATTATACTTTTTCTGTTGCTCTGTTTTGGTGAGCTTATAATTCGTAAAAATATATTTGTAGCTCTGTATGTAGACTTTCGAAACAATTAATGTCCCTAGATTTAATCCAAGTTTTGCTTTCTATAATCACAGAGTACATTTAGGAATAAAATAGACTTATGAATCCATTTTTTTCACTGCTATTTGTTCACTGAATAAAGGAGTTATAATATTAATAAATTTTTGGAACTTCAGGGACGTCTTGGTAGTTTACAGAATTAATTTGACTTTTCCGTGAAACATGTCATCATTTTGCCAGTTTTTTATTGACTCGTGGATTATGCTTTGTTATCTGTTTGCTTATCATTTTATAGTGTTGTGCAGCATTTAATATTAACTTCGAAGCCCAGGAATGTAATTCAGATTGCTGCAAAATGCTATGAGGTAAGAACTCTATATGTGTAATATAGTGTAATTTTACTAAAATGTTTCATGAAGCCTGTTTTAACCGATTTTAAGAATAAGGATTTTTAACTTTCTAGATTAGAATTTTGAAAGCACACTACATTTAATGCAATTCAATTTGGGTAGGCCAGATGGAAAAATGTTCAGTATTTCTTCGCGTGCCTATATTGGTTGAAATCCCCTTTTTATAAGGCAGTCTACACAAGTGTGAAAATGCAAATTAAACTAAGGTCACCTTTTTGTGTCAATTTGTTTGTGAGCTTTGAATGCAGTGATTGAAATTTCGATGAGAACAGAAGCGATCATTAGTGAGATGCAATCTGTAGTTACTGCAATTTAAGTGGTCGTAACTCTTGAGTCTTGCGGTTACTCGCATTTTCATCTGCTAACTTAAATTGCCGGTTATGTATATTAGCAGAGAGTTTGAGTTTGTTCAAATCGATTTCTTGCCATCCCTATTATAACTTTACATGCTGCTGCTTTGTTAGTTCAAAGTTCAGAAAACTGTCAGCCGAGAATTATGAAGCTAATTTTTGTAGTATTTGTAAAGGTTTTTGAATTTACCGAACAGTCATGAATAATTTTGGACATGGGTTAGATTTTTAATGTTTCACAGTTTAAGTAAATGCATAAAATGGCAGTTAAAACCTTAAATGGTTAGTGGCAATCGGCAGGAAGATATGTACCTAGGTGTCGTGCTTATTGGCCCTCTTCCCCTCTGACACGTCTCTGTTGAGTTCAAACCCGTGATAGACCTCTTATAACACTGCAGTGGTCATATTGTTTAATCATTGGTATGGTTATTGTCACTTGATAGTAAGAATAATACTGAGATTTGTAAAAAGCAAAATACGCAAAAGGAAAAGAAAGATGGAAACTTCATTAAGGCATGGATAAGGTATGGATCTATCTATACAACCACGATTTCTAAGTCGTATTTCGCATATTCTACAATTATGTTAGTGGATTTGTAAAACACGAACAAGACTTCTCGATTTTTTTTGCGTTCAAATCGATGATTTTGTGAACTGATTCTATACCGTCATCTGCAGGGCCAGTCAGTCATACTGATTCACTGACTGCAAAACACTCGACTTCAAATATAGTTCTCTCTACTATTTCCTTCTATTCCTTCGAGATCATGAAGTATTCCTTAATGTTCTACAGTGTGTCTGTAGTTATGTAACGTCGTATACCTCATACATAACTTATATTTTTTACTAATATTGTTCTTGCATTTTATTAGGACTTTATCGAAACGTCGGTTCTACGTTGTCTTCCTACTAATAGTTATTTCATCAATATTCATTTTTATATTTGCGAACCAACGGCGTTTAAAATGTCAGTTTACGCATTGTTCTATACCTCCGGAAGAGTTAGTGAAAGTATCAGATTCTTCATTTACTAGTGATAATTTCGATGTCGCTTATGACGATCACAAATCCTTTCCTGTTGTTATTTACAACAGAATACCTAAAACAGGCAGTACATCTTTGGTCAACTTAGTCTATCGACTAATAGCAGAAAAGCGTATTCATACGCATGTGCTGCACGTGAATATTTCTACAAACAGACATTATATAAATCGAATAAGTGAATTATATCTTATCCATAATTTAACACATTGGAAAAGTATGCATCCACTAATGATTCATGGTCATTTCGCTTACATAAATTTCGAGAAATATGGAACATCATTTACTCCGGTATATATCAATATGATAAGAAATCCTTTAGACAGATTAGTATCATATTATTATTTCATACGATATGGTGATGATTACAGACCATATTTAAAACGTAGGCGTATGTCGGACCCCGTCATTCGTAACCAGACGTTTGACGAATGTGTTCTATTGAAAGGAAATGACTGTAATCCACAACTCCTTTGGGTTCAGGTAAGATGTTGCTTCTATCTGTTTTTTCTTTTTTATACATATTTACCTTGCAAGTGTAACACCTAACATCACTACGTTTATCGTTAATACTATTAATGATACCGTGTAACACAAGAATTGGGACGTAAATGCCAAAGATCAAAGAAGTTTATTCTCTTCATACTTTACACTTCACGGGCCACGTCTCACAACCATAAAGAAGAACACAGCAAACAGCTTCGCTTGATCGATACTTGAATATCGTACCTGTGCCAAAGATGGCACATGCCAACAGATGCCAGACAAATCTTTCGCATCTGTTGTGGGATTTCGTCAACAATCAGTCAATTTGGGCTGATGCAACTTCATTAGTAAATGAAGTGGTCAGCATGCTCATCATTAGATAAAGGTGTCAAATACGTCCGCTGCACGTTTCTCAACTTCACTTCTGCTTTCGACTCTGTACCTAGATGTCTGTTGCTAAATAAGCTCTCTAAGACAAAAACTGAGTCCTGCATCACTAACTGGTTGCATTACTACTTCTCTAACAGAATGCAGTACACCGTATACAAAGGTAAATCCTCCTCTGCTGCACTCACTGAAGCTGGTGTCCCCCAAGGTGCTGTACTCTCCCCCCTTCTCTTTTCTTTCTTTCTACATGACTTACCATCTTCAAAAGACATTAATTTTGTCAAATATGCTGACGACCTGACAGTATCTTTGCCTGTCAAATTTCAAAGTGACTGCTCTAAATTAAATGGCTTTCTGTCAGAAATCAGCCAGTGGTCCAAGGAAAACGGTCTTACCTCAAACCCCTCCAAATGCCAGACAGTCAATTTCGCCTTTAGGCATAAATCCGACCTAAACAAACTGGTAGGCTCTCACGAGGTATGCAACATAGATGGCACTGAAATAGAAACCAAGTCGGGAATTAAATACCTAGGCGTCATTCTATCTGCTGATCTATCCTGGTCGTCTCATATCTTGGCGATTTCTAAGAAAACATTCCGTCTTACCTTCTACATCAAGAAGTTAAGACATTCTTGTATAACCCAACCCTTTCTCCTACAATTCGTTAACTCTCGCATTCTACCTATTATTCTCTATTGTTCCCCCTTAGTTTTTCCCGGGCTACTGAAGAAAGACTATAACATATTACGCAGGTTTTTAAAGGTTATCAGCAGGGTAAGCATCGTGACACTTAACCAGCTTGTTAATATTCTGGTTGACAAGCACATGGAGTCATGTGAAAAATGG